CCCCAAAACCCCAAAACCCCAAAACCCCATTTAATTTAAAAATTAATTTAAATTTCTTTCATACTCTTAGTCCCAGAAATGCCGAAGAAAAAGCATGCTGATCCTTACTCATTGGTAGGAAAAACAGTAAGTGTCATTCCTTGTTAAACTTATCCTTCTTAGCATTTTAAAATCCCTTGATATAGGCGAGGAATGGTGAAAAGCATAGTTTCATCAAAAAGGATCAGAAGCCATTATCTCTCAACGTAATTTCACTCCCTAAAATAAAGATCAGAGATGCTTTTTACAGCCACAGTCAGACCAACTCAGAGTCGAGTAGTTGTGTCTCTTCTCAGGCCGAAAGCAATAATAAAAAGTTGAAATAGACCTAAGTAATTTTCTTAAACCATTTTTATAGAATCAACAGTACAACTATTGATAACGAAATTGGGTACAAAAGTCTCCGGGCCCTCAGCTCTAAAAAGAGAAAACTAGGTAGGTGTCTACAGTTGAGCTTTAGTCAGGGAATCAACTGTACAACAGTTCTGTAAACCTCCTAGAAGCAAGCTTATCTCCAAGAAAGGCTTTACCTCAACTAGAAATAATCAATCTGTAGTAACAATGAAGAAGGCAAAGCTACTCAAGAAGAAAGGATTAAGGGTTCTGAAGAACCCTGAGATCGTCAAGTTGGCTCCTTTCTCGATATCTCTAGTAACTGGAAAGAAGACCACCTGTGGCTATTCGACTTCTGCTACTCCGAATAACAGGCAGTCTTTTGGGACTCCCTCTTGTCTTAAAAGTATTGCTGAGAGGAACAAAATTCTAAAGGAAATCGAGAATTTATCTAAAGCATTACTAAGCCAACAGGGAAGATTCCAGATGGCAGTGGAGAAGATCAAGGCTGAACGAAAGAAGCATAAGAAAACTAAATAAACATCTTGAAAAGAGTGAACTCAAGAAGGACCAAATTGAGTACCTCAAGAGACGTATCGAGGACCTCAAGAGGAACGAGGAGAACCTCCTGCAGGACCTTGTCCAGCAACAATCCATCTCAAAGGATGCTCTGCAAGGACTTGAGAATCTCCGTGTCAAGTTCGATGAAGAGAAAAAGCTGATGAAGGATGAACTTGATCATTACTACAACCTTTTACTTGAACAAGAACGGGAGAAATACCTTCAATTGCAGGAAAGAGTCAGGCAACTTGAAAAAGTTGAAAGACAAGTTAAAGAGATGGAGGTAAAAAATTCAGGACAAGAACGTCGAAACAACGAACAAAGGGAAACTATGTATAGCCTACAAAGTATGCTAGAAGATAGCAGGAAGAAATGCCAGGAACTTGAAGAAAAACTTGATGATAAAACCACTGAATTGGAGCTCAAGGAAACCAAGTATAACACCGTTATTAGTAACCTCAAGGAGAAACTTGCAAATCTTGGTAAGGTTTTGGTACAAATTTGTAGAGGAAAAGACAAACCAAAAGTATCAAGACCATATCAGGGAGCTTCAGGAAGAGAACCAAGTCAAAGATGAGGAGATTATGATGAAGACCAAGGAAATCGAAATGTTGCATGCAAATACAACTACCAAATTTTCCCATCTTGAGAGCCGTAATGATGAGCTCGAAGCTCAGATTAATCACAAAGAAAGAGATTACCTTGAAGAGAAATTTAGAAGAGAAGAACTTGAATCTGAAGTTAAGAGACTTAAGGAAGAACTTGATGATATCCAGACTAAGAATGCTATGACAGGTAAATATGGATTCAAGGACAGCTACCTAGCCAATGCTCAGCCTCAAGAAGTTCCAAACTTCAAAGCAGAAGAGCCAAACTATGTCTACGAATGCAAGAGCCAGAGTAATGATATGGAGTATGAGAACATCTATGGGAAATTAACATCTGAACTGACCAACCTCCGAAATGATATCAACAATTTAAAATCAGATAAGGAAAGTCTGAGCTCATCCAAGAAAGCCCCGGTGCCAAGCGTTGCTTATGAAACCCTGAATTTCCAAGAGAATAAGAACTATAATGCTTATTACAAAAAGAGCTTTAATAACAAGCCAAGGCAGGTCTTATCAACGAAGAAATTGAATGATGATCCACAGAGAAACATTCAGAGAATCAAGAGCATTGACAGCAACTTCTCAGACCTTGAACGACTCAATGCTCTTGAGAAGCATCTGAATGACCAAAATGGACTAGATGAAGCACTCAGATCTGAGACAGAGAGTCAGGATATTAGTTATAGACAAAGCGATATTGAAAATTTTACTAGCGAAATCGATCCACAATACTTGTTACAGAGCGAAAATCAGAGCCCAAACCAAGAGTCTTACAAGAACCAGCAATCAGCAAGGGAGATCAACAGGGTTTACTGGGAGACTACGAATGAGATAGACACTAATGGGGACGGAAGCAAGCAGAGCAAAGGTATCCCAAATCTGAATATGGACAAGGTCTACAGCAGGTATTCATAATTCAATTTATCCAAACTTCATGGGGTTTTGGGGTTTTGGGGTTTTGGGGTTTTGGGG